CGTCCATTGCTCCCCCGCCTCCTTCCCTCCCGCCCTCACGGGGCAGCACAGGCTTTTCCCGTGGGGATATGGCCGCCCCAGCCTTCTTTTCCAGAAGTGCTTCCCTCAGGGACGGGACCCCGTAGTAAAATAACCGAGGCGGGGGGAAGGCTGCTGTCATTTTTCTTGCACCGCTGTCCCTTTTCATCTGCCTGCCAACATGAGATGGCGGCCGGGAGATGCAGTCACCCGGGTTTATTCAGCTGGGTTGTTTTCTTTTTTTCGCACAGGAGGCACTGGGACCTGTGCCAGGAGCTGGTTGCATTCCCACATGGCAGGGTCAGCCGGAGCTGCTGAGTCGGAGGCCCGTGGATGCCAGAACTGCCTCTAAAGTGTCTTGAGCCGAGCAATATCATTGAAATTATATTTATAATGGTTTCCAACGTTTACTTTAAAAGTTCATAGCTGACCCGTGAAAATTTTATGCTGGATCCTAAAGAAAAAATTTCTGGTGAAGAACGAGGGATTTCTCAACTACTTGGTGATTTCTCAGCTTTAATGGTAGTGTGGGCTACAGTGCTCTGGTTTGGAGGAAGCACTTTTGGGCCTCTGTGACGCATTCCATTAAAAAAAAAAAACAACAACCAAACCAGATCCAGAGATTTTTATAGCAAAAAAAGGAAGGAGATATATGAGATTTGAAGAGAGATTTCACGATTCCCAATCTGGTAAAGTGGGCAAGCGGGTGGGTACAAGTGGAGCAGGCCATACACTGTGATAAGTAACTCTGAAATAAACAACGTAATAGTAGTAATATGAATGTCCCATGAAATATTCAAAGCCCCTTGTCTTCACACACCTATAAAGAGAGAAATAGCATTCAAATGTAAACTGGGAAAAATGAGAGCTAGGGAGTTTAACTTACTGTGTCTGCGACAGAGCTGGGATGAGACCAATTCCCAGCCACCCACAAGGACATCCTATCCTTTAGGGGGGTTAATCGCTTCCAGCCAACAGGCCAGAAACACGGTCTGGCAAGACCCTGCCATCCACCTCTTCTCTACCCTTTATTTTAGTGTTCCTTCAACAGCCATTTGATACCCTGCATTGCCAACCACCATCATCCTCCCACATCTTCATCTTCTGCACGATCAACCATCATTGTCATGATCAACCTCAACGAGCAGCAAGCATTTGAGGAAGGAGAAGATTCTGATAATGATCAAAATGTAACTGTCCAGAGGGAGGCAGGGAGATCGCTTGCCTTCCAAGATTTGCACCCTACCTCCAGTCTCGTGGATGAAGCAGCAGTGATGTTTCAAAACAACGACCCACTCTAAAAACAACCAAAATCATCAGGGCATTGCCAGGTTGAATCTGATGTTGCACTGCTCATAATCTCAGTCATCTGTTGACTTTTATGTTTAAAAGAAATGAGCACCCCAGCTGCCAGGAAGCCAGCACCTCCTCCAGTTGACAGTCCTGCTCCTGCCTCTCCATCTTCAGCTCCTGATGTCCCTGTGTATTCAAACTCTACCACTGAGGGTCCTGCATGCATACCCGCTATCCTGCTCCCTGCCATGTTATTAATCCACAATTGCTTCGCTCTGTCAAATTCTTGTTTCACTTTTCAGGAACGCCTGCTCAGTGGAGAGCAGCGTTTGGCTGGGCATGTGCTATGTGCCTTCCCCCACCCCATCCCACAAAAAGGGAAAAGTCCCAGTTATCTGCAGTAACTGAGAGACATTTCAAGACAGAATTTCATAATTTACCTAGCAGCTGCATTTTAGATAATCTGTGATTTTACGTTGGCTGTAACAGTTACATTAGTTAGAAAATGGCACAAATGTTCTCAGCTCAAAGCAGAGTGGTTCAGATTCACTGCTGGAATAAAGAAATTCCACTGTTGTTGAATGATGTTAATTATTTTAGCTTTAAAACACACTCTCTTCTACTTAGGTCTATGTTGGTGGGAAAGTTGTTTGGCGTGAGGGTAGTAGAGTAATTATTCCATCCTGGCTTTTCTGGAATAACTCTTCCTGTGGACAGTTTAGTTCAAAACAGGAATTCAAAGCAGAATATTTGTAATAATTTTCTTTTAAATAAAATTTTACTGGTGTGGCTGCAGCAGAGTAGACCTACCATGTAGGTGAAGCCTCAGTGTATGCTTGCAGCCCTTACACTTCTAGGACACAAATCCATTGGGTTGATTTTCTCACTGGTTTCCTAAGCTGTTTGTACTTTGGATTCTTGCCTTATTTTTCAAAATTAAGAAGGCCTCGCTCTGGCTAGACTATCTTACTCTGTAGCATAAAATAGCTGATATTCAGTGATCTTGACATTGTAGTCTTGACATTCTTTCTTCTGAAGACTTTTGCCCAGCTAAAAAATCATTTTTCCCTCTCTTTCTCACAAGAATAACATCAAGCTTTTGTCATTTGTTTTTTTTCTTCCTCTGTCTAGACAGGCTCTTTAGCTAAGTGGTGTGATTTTGTTTATCTCTAATTTCAACAGCAGAGTCACATTTCCCTCCTCCCTACCTCTTGTAAATAGGGTTTTGTTTACCACTGTCTGCTCTTTTGGTGACAAAAGCCACATACTGTTATTAGTTAGCAAACGTTTAATTACATTGCTAGAGCAGATGGAAATCCAGCCTCAGGACCTAGGGAGCAGGTCAACAGAATTTAAAATTCTTCCATCTTTCTTCTATTTTGCATGCTCCATATCCACTTCAACAGCTCTTTAGCACCAAGTTGAACAAGTGTGCGGGGTATTTACACTTACACGTGTGACTCTTCCCTTACTTTATTAAATGACCTTATGGCCAAGAACTCCACTGTCACTTTAGTTTGATTTATCACAGCAGGACTTCCCTCGATGGGTGAACTCCCAACAGGACACCAATAGTCTCTGGACGTGAGTAGCAGGTGGCCTGATGCTTTACCATGTGTAGCACCTCTCACCATGGTTTCTTCTCTCTGAAGAAACTCATCAGCCCAGCTTGCCCTTCCTTACTTATCTGCCTATTCAAATATATCTTAATGGATTTAATTCAGGCTTCTAGCCTGGCAGCCCTTTGCTATCTTTTAATCTTTGCCTTCATCTAGCAATCTGTTTACAAGCCTCAGTAGAGCAAAGGACATAGTGTGGGCATTTTGGAGTCTTCCTTTGAAAGGCCTGAGGATTAATATGTGTATAATAAAGGCAAACGAATCTAGACAGATAGATTTAATGAACTCTAATAATAATAAAAATAAATGATCAGCAAGTGTTGATTTAAATTAACAATTTACACTTGGTTTCTCTCCATACTTACTATTTTTGTAGTGCTGCTTCTCATTCATAGATAATATGGTGATTTTCAAGGTAGAAATAGCCTTGCATTAAAGTTGGAGTGTATTTCTATTAATCAAGAGAATTGACTATTACACAAAATATTTAACCAAATATATCTAGTGATCTATGATAGAAATTTGCCTTGCTTTTCTTTTCCATTTTGTGTCAGATAGGAAATGGTGAACGGGACATTGGTATTGATGCTTGAGCATGTTTAATTTTTCTCATGATGTTCATGAGGTTATATTTGAATGAAAACTGGAATTTTACTAAAATGGGCAAGTAGCTGCAATCTAAAATAATAATACTGAAAAGCGCGGGAGAAAAAAAGTAAGCTTATTACAATGTATTTTGCATTTAAACTTGATTTATGAAATGGTGAATTATTGTCCCTACCTTTGTGCAGTGAGCTCCTTGGTTTTGATCATCGTGGTTATGTCTAAAGAGGCATCCCTGTGAGCGCTCCTAGGCTTCTGTACCGATATCCCAGCTATAGGCGCTGCCAAACCCAGCCACAGCCACTGCCAAATCTTGCCACAGGCCTGCCTGGGTGAAGACAGGCCTGTGCCTTACCAGGGGGCAATGCACCAACTCCCTCCTCACTCACCTGTGTGCAGTGTCAGGTTTAAAACCTCTGTTATGTGGATGGTTGCTGCTGTGGAGAATATTTTGCTGATATAAAGGATTTTTAGGTTTAGTATTAGCTTGTCGAAATGCAACCGCTGTTGATGTGACACACCTTGGTACAAAACTAGGACAAGATGACCTGAAG